CTATTGAATGGATAAACAAAAAAGAGCTTTTTTTTAAAAAGACTAACAAAATCAATAAGCCATTAGCTAATGTGATTAATGAAAAAAAAAAAAAGAAAACCAAATTACCCGGGGTTAAAAAAAAAAGATGAAGAAGGAATTCATAATGAAAGGAGAAGAAATAAAGAAGGTTAGCAGAAATTAACTCTATCCCATTATATGCTAACAAAACTGAATTTCTTAAGAAATATAAAGCATTCAGATTACCAATCCAGGAAATAGAAAAGCATAAAGAAGCTCATCTCACAAAAAAGCTGTAAGCAAGCCGAGAATGGAGACCCGAAGGAAAGCAAAAACCCCAACGGCTTGGACCAGATGGATTTATAAGCAGATTCTATCAGACATTTAAAGTGCAATTCCTGTGCTGTATAAACTGCTCTCAGAAAGAGAGAGAACTTCCTCTAGCAAACTCATTCTATGACACAAATATGGACCCCACCCGGGGAACGTTAAAGGAGATGTATAGACTGACATCGCTAATGTATATCGATGCAAAAATTTTAAATAAAATATTAACAAAGATGCTGCAAGAGATCTGAAAATGATTCATTACGACCAAGTCTGATTTAGAACATGCCTAGAAGGATAGTTCAATGGGAGGAATACCATTAACATAATTGATGGCATTAATAAGAAAGGCAAAAATCCCAGTGATATCAATAGCAGCAGGAAAAGCCTTTACACAAAATGCAGTACTGATTTATGTTTTCAAAAAGTGCTTAAAAAGCAGAGCCATGAAGGATCTTTCTTTAACAGCATCAAAAGCGTCTAGCTATAACCAAGAGCTAGCATGATTTATAATACAGAAACACTGTCTCAGCAAGATCAGGGATGGAAAACCCCCCACTCTCTAGAGGATGTCAAACACAATTCAATTTAAAAAAAAAATCCAACGTGCATTTACTGTTCACCTACTACGCGCAAAGCCCTCTTTTTAGGCCCTTGGCAAACAAGGACAAAAATGAACCAGGACTTGTCCTACAAGATCTAATGTTCTACTGGGAGAGAGTATAATGTATGCACATTAGTTATGCAAAAAATATATAAAGTTATAGCAAGCAATCGGTCAACAAGTATTAAGCACCTAACACACTCAGCACTGCATTAGGCCCCGAACACAAAGAGGAAAATCAAACCCTTCCTCCCTAAATGGGGGCACCTGCGACCTGGGGAGACAAGCTCTTTACCAAGTAAATAAATGGTAGCCTGAGGGGCTTGGGGCTGGGGACAGTGGGGGAGATGAGGAAAGGCCTGATGGGGGAGGATGCCCTAGAGCTGAGGTTGGAAGGAGGCCAGGGAGGCTTCGGCAGGAGGAGGAAGCACCTTCCAGACACCAAGGACAGACTGTGCAAAGCGGAGGAAGTAGGAGGTCAGCAGCCAGGAGGTCAGTTCAGTGAGGCCAGAGTTTGGGAAGACAACCAGTCAAGGCAGTGTGCATTTTCTAAGCAAGTGAAGGGCACTGGGCTAAACCTTTAGGATACAAAGAAACTGGAGGACAAACAAAAACATATCAGCTCTCAGGTGCTCATGGTGAGGTGAAGAAGTATGTAACTAGTCCAGCAGGCAGGCTGGACCCTGGATTGTGAAGGGCTTTACGGGTGACCTGAGAGATACAAGAAATCTCCTGGGGCTTCTGGAACAGGGGTGGTCCTTAGGAGGAGCACTTTGGCATCTGTGTGGAGTATGGACTAGGGAAGGAGGTGGGGAGATCTGTCAGGAGGCAGCGAGATCTGTCAGGTGGCTGGGAGATCTGTCAGGAGGCTGGGGGAGGGAGGCAGGGAGATCCGTCAGGATCCTGGCCTGAACCAGGATGGTAGCTGTGTGAGCAGAGAGGAGGATATGATGGGAAGAGATGTTGTGAAGGAAGAACTGATGACATTTGGTAACTAACTTGATAACATAAATGCAGAATGAGGCTGAGTGAAAAGAAGATGGTAATTCTTTTTTTTTTTTTCCTTTTGGCTAGGCAATGGGGTTAAGTGACTTGCCCAGGGTCACACAGCTAGTATGTGTTATGTGTCTGAGGCCGGATTTGAACTCAGGTCCTCCTGAATCCAGGGCCGGTGCTCTATCCACTGCACCATCTAGCTGCCCCAAGAAGATGGTAATTCTAAGGCTGTCAACCTGGCAGTTGGCAGGACGGTTCTACAAACCACCTGTGACTCTCAGTGGGGGGAGTTCTTTATATGAGAACTCTGTCTACTAATGCCGATCCCAAACCACTATGACATAACAGTAGAGAAGTCCTCGGCTATTTACTGTCTGCAGAACACAGAGATTAAGACACTTGGCTGGGGCATCTGGGAAATTACTGGTGAAAAGGGAGAGAATAAGCAAGGGAGGAAGGGAGAGAGAAAGGGAAGGGAGGAAGAAAGGGATAGGAGGAAGATGGGAGGAAGGAAAAGAGGGAGGAAGGATTTTTTTAAGTGTCTACTATGTGCTAGGGACTGTGCTAAATTCTTTACAAATACCTCATTTGAGCCTTACAATAATCCTGAGATGTAGGCACTATTATTTATATTTTACAGTTGAAGAAACTGAGGCAGAGGTTAAGTGACTTGCCCAGGATTACACAGCTAGACTGGATCCGAACTCAGGTCTTTCTGACTCCAGACAAACACAGAGTGTGCCAAGAAAACTGGAATGTAGGAAAATGGGTTTAAACTAGTACCATACACCACACAGTACAATAAATTCCATGCAATCTAAGTACAAAACCTTCATGCTGTTAAACAGAGGAGAAAGGATGGCTGTATCTTTCACCCACACAACACAGATGGAGGAAGAGCTTGTATCCAGAAGTGGAACAGACATCATAAACAACAAAAACATCAATGAACAGAAGAACTGGCTGAGTAAATGATGCAAAGGGTCAGGCCCCTTCATCTAGTACATTTAACATACCAGGGAAAGCTATCTGATAAGGGGCACCCAGAGTCATGTAGAAAGGGACGCAATCAGCCCCCGGTGGAAGGAGGGGACAGACGGTCTCGTCAGGCCCCGGTGTCTGCAGGAAACAGGCACTGAGGTCCTACTGTAATGTGCCAGATACTACTAGGTGCACTTGTGAGGCAAGTACAGGGAGTGGCCTGAGAGCACTTCTGGGTTCTCCAAGACTTTGCCGAGAGAGAGAGGCCCTGGCTGGGCCCCCTGGGCTGAAACAGCTGGAGGATGTGAACGGCCATGGGCTCCATGGGTGTGGGACACAGGGACCCATGGAGTCAAGTCGGGAGGCACTCATCACCAGCGGACTGGCGGCCCGGTGACAAAAGGCAAAAAACGGAGGCCAAAAACAAAGCCCCCATGTGTACACATTTGTATATGCATACTCACACGCACATTTTTAAATGGAAAAAACTGGGATACTTGGACCATATGTTCAGAGGGAAATAAATAGAAGAAATTATCAAGGAGAAAGCTGGTAAGTTAGATAGGAGACAAGAAGATCTGGGTTCAAATTCCACCTCAGATATTTACTAGCTACATAATCCTGGGCAAGTCACTTAACCTCTTTACACACCACTCTCTTCACTGGCAAAATGGGTGTGCTAATAGTGCCCATCTCAAAGCACTGTTGGGAAGGTCAAATGAGATAAGATGTTACTATAGCTGAAATTTCCAAGCAGAAGTTGCAAACCAGAGTGCTAGACTGTTACAGAAATTAAAACTATCTGCCCAATAAAGATCCATATAACTGAGTGCCTTCCTCATGCCTTACACAGTGTAGACAAAATCAATTAAAATGTCATTTCTCATTTTAACAGATGAGGGAAGTGAGGCTCAGAAAGATGAAACCCCTTGAGCTCTTGATTTACAGAATTTATAGCATTGAGAAAACATAAAAGAACAAATGTCAGAATGGAGAAAAGTGTGCAATGGATGAATAGTGAGACAATATGAATGGTTAGTTCACAAAAGAGTTAAAACAAATAGCAGTCAAACACTGAAAAATGTTCAGCTTCTTCAATAATTAGAAAAATGGAAAGGAACATTATTAAGAAGTATCTACAACCTTAGAGACAGCAAAACACTAAAAATATATAAAAATGATCAAATCAAAAGTTGGAAGGATTCTGGGGAAATAGGTACACTCATACATAGCTGGTAGCATTGCAGACTGGTACAGCCTAGTGTGCTGGAGAATAAACTGGCAAAGGTCAACACAAATCATAAAGCTGGTCATAGCCTTAGACTTGGCAACCTACTACTGGTAATAAATCTCAGGGAAATAATTTAGATGGGGGAAAAAGATTGATTTGAACAAATATGTTTACAGCTATGTGATACGTAATTATTAAAATCAGAAACAACCCAAATGCATGGCAGCCCATGTTAGACTAACACAAGAGAACACTAGGGCACCAATGAGTACGATAAATAAGAAAATTATGCAGACTGTGGAAGAGTCCATATGCAATGGTGGAAAAGGAAGGAACACTGAGAGAGGGTTCTAGGCAAACAGAGATCTTTGATTTCTCGAGTTATCAGGTTTAGTGGGAAGAGCACTGTTCCAGAAGTCAGGAGGCTGGGGTCCCAGTACCAGCTGTGCCACCGGTATCTTGGAACACATTACTGCACCCACCTGGACCTCAATTTTTTCTTGTGTCAAATGAAAGCTATGACCAGATGATCTCTAAGGTTCTTTCTAGCTCTAAATGGATTACCTTGGGATCTTTCTAGCGCTAAAGCTCTCTAGGAGAGAGCCTGGCAATGCTTTGTGTGCCTTGGAGAAACCACTGAACCCTTCTGTGCTTCCTCACCTATAAAAGAAGGGGCTGGACTGGGAGATGGACTCCAACCTCCCTCCCAGAGTTGGACTGAGAATCCTGTGAATTCTGCTAATTGAACAGCGTTCTTTCAGGTAAGACACTAGGTGCCAGGGCCTGGAAGAGACTTTGGTTGGGCAGAGATGATTTAGAGAACATGTCTACACTGTCAGAAGAAAGAGAAACCCAACTCACCTTGGCCTGGGCTGTCCAGAATCCAGAGGTCATCTCCTCCTTTTCTTCTCGTCCCCATTCTCCACATCTTTGTAGATGGCCTTTCACATCTGCTGGGCCGAGATAACAAACATGAGCGAGCCGCTGGGGACACTGACAGAGGAAGACCCTTGCACAAGATCACTTAGTCAGGGGGTAGGATTTGTGGCCAGGCCTGCGGGCCCTCTACTATAGGTGAAGCTGCTTCTTGGAGAAATAAATATGAGAAGAGAGGGAGGAAGGAGCCCCAAGAAGCAGCATTACAAGGTCTCTAAGGTTCTCTCAATGAGCTCTGGTCTTCCATGTAAATGCTGGAAAGGAGGCAGTGTCCCCATTTCATGTCCTACCCTCTCTCCCCCACTGGCTGATACTTTGTGGGAAACGGGCAGAGGCCTTGGACCTCCTAGGTCCATCTGCCTCAGAGAGGGGATCTTCTAAACCCCAAAGGAGATGAGAAAACACCTTCAGTAGAATCATCTAGCCTTGTCATAACTATACTATAACCCCCAGTTTACAGAAGCTGATTGCCTGGAACCACTGATTTCAGGGCAGGGCAGCAGAAGTCTTGGGAGGGGAGAGTGCAATTGTTAGGAAGGAAAGGGGAAAGGATAAGCATTTATGCAGCACCTACTGTGTGCCAGGTTCTGTGCTGCATGCTTTACAATCACTTGCAGTTGAGGAAACTGAGACAAACAGGGTTAAGTGACCTTCCCAGGGTCACACAGCTGCTAAGAGTCCAAGGCCAGATTTAAACTCCGGTCTTCATGACTCTTGGTCTGGCTCTCTGTGCACTACAGAGGTCGCTGGCCAGCTCCGCTGCTGTTTGGGTGATTGGGCTATACTGAACAGCCAGTGGAGAACGGTGCCTCCTCCTCTGGGATTCAGAGGGCCCACAGCACAGCTGGAAGGGGAGGGTGTGATGTACGAGGGGCTGCTATGTGACACAGTGGATGGAGTGTCTGGCATGGAATCAGGAAGTCCTATCTCAGATACTAGCCATGTGACCTTGGACGAACTGCTTCACCTCTGTCTGGGGCTGTCTGCCTCAGTTTCACTACACGTAAAATGGGGAAATAAGAGCACCTACCTCCCAGGGCTGTTGGTTACAAAATCAAATATATCAAGCATGCTGCAAACCTTAACATGCACTTCAATGCTAGCTGTTACAGTTACTGTCACTATCACCATCACCCAAACACACTCGCTTACTGATCCCGGCACTCAGTGAGGACAGGACACATTCCTCTCTCCTCGTCCCTGAGGCAGCCATCACATGAAGGACAGAGTGCTAGAGCCAAAGTCAGGAAGACCTGGGTTCAAATCCTCCCTCAGACACCTCCTGGCTGCGTTACCTTTAAAAGAGGCCCATGGCCTACTTGTGCCTCAGTCTCCCTTGTAAAATGAGGGTGCAAGACTCAATGGCCCCTAAGATCCCTCGGAGCTCAGCTTCTCCAATCCTAACCTCCCTTATCCTTCGTAACCCTTATGAGACTCTCCAAAGGCTGGCTATTATCAGCGGGCAGAGGCAGGCTGCTTCCCAGGAAGATGTGGGTTCAAGTCCAGCACCTGCTGGCTGGGTGCCCCTCAGTACTCAGTCACTTAATTCTCAGTGCCCTGGGAAGCTCTCTAGGACTCTGCCTGGCAGAACAGGTGCACGTTTGCATTGGGAAAGGACATTTCCATACTGGGAGTTCCCAGTACTACATCACAGGTCCAGACCATGGTCACAAACAATTACCCCAAGGCATCCAAGACTGATGTAAGGAAGGAGAGGCCAACCTGGTGGGAAGGCCACCCTGTCTCCTTCTATCAGTTCTCCATGTCAGTTACGATCATCAGCTGATAGAAGAATTTTTCCTTCCCATGAACCAATTAACAACCCATTGTTCAAACCCAGCCCTAGCCCCGGAGGTGGGAAGCTGGAGGAGAGAGAAGAGACAAAGGGGGCCCACAAGGGGACCTCCAAGTCAGCAGGAATCCCCAGGAAACATAGAGAAGCAGGGCTGGGTTGTCCCTATGAGCTGGGCCCGCCAAAATCTGCCGGGGTCAAGATTCAGGTAAACTTGCATTAGACAACAAACCTCGAGTCTGGGGTGGGGGGTGTGGTATCAGGTGTTCCAATAACTTTTCTTTCCCCAGAGCTTCCAAGTAAAAAGTTCCTTTGGAAAAAGTGCCACCCCTGTCCCAAAGGGATCCATCCACACCTGCTGGCCAGGGAGGATGGGGAGGACATTGTGTGACTCTAAAGAGGTGGCTGCCATGAGATTGAGGCAAACTGGGTACAGTGGTGGGAAGGGGATGATGGCAAGGACACAGAGGCAGAGACAGCTGTAGGTTTGAGCCTTCCTCCCATACACCTCTAATCCCGCCCCCAACATCCACTGGGGATCCCAGGATCATGCATTCAGAACCAGAAGGGATCAGTGCATGTGATGATGAGGGGATTTGAGTGACTTGCCCTAACTTCCACAGTCAGTAAAATGGCAGAGCCAGACCCCCAGGCACAGCCCCCCTCCCCGCCCCCCCAAGCTCTCACCTCTCTCTTCCAGCACTGAAACCCAGGTTTCCATGGCCACGGCCCTCCCTGCTGTTGTCTGAATCTTCTGACCTCACCCAAGTCGGGTCTGGTGAGGCAAAAGGAGGCTCTGTCCTTCAGCCCTCTGAAAGGTCCCAGGTCAGCTGTGTCTCCTCCGAGGATTCATTTCTGCTCAGGAGAGGGATCCTCCACACCTTCGCCTGCCTGCAGAGCTGGCTGGGGCCTGTGGGCTTAAGAGGGAGGTCATTTTAGTTCGGCCCTTGGCCTTTGGGCTGGGCTCAGAGCCCATTCCAGGAAGGGAGCCATCTCTTGGTTATACTAGGTAAGCTAAGGCCAGGAGATTTCCACCTAAGGTTTCTGGGGAAAGAGCTGAAAACCAGCAAAAATCAGTAGCAGGGGCTCAGATGCCTCAGTCCTACATTCTAACACGGGGGCTCTCTGGAGATGCCCAGAGACCATACAAAAGTGCATGAGATTATACATTCACGATTAATTCATTTACATGTAGAGGCAGCTAGGTAGTACAGTGGATAAATCACTGGACCTGGGGGCAGGAAGGCATGAGTTCAAATCCATCCTCAGACCCTTCCTAGTTATGTGACCCTGGGTAAGTCACTTAACCTCTCTTTGCATCAGTTTCCTCATCTGTAAAATGGGGATAATAATAGTACCTTCCAAGGATGTCACATGGATCAGATGAAATAATATTTGTAAAACACTTTACATACCTTAAAGCACTATCTAATTGCTAGCCGCTATTGTTATGATGATTGTTACTCTATGTAATAATTTAAGTTACACCCTCCCAGGGATTTGCTTTCAAGGAGCTTAACAAGAACAGGCTAAGGTCTGCTTTCCATAGGCTCTCCAAGAATAGGTGTGACTCTAGTAACCAAAATAAATGATTAAGTCTACATAGAACACACACAGATGTAGCTGAGCTGAGGAGTAAGGGCCGTAGTAGGAAAATCCAAACAGAGAAAAGCAGCAGGAAAGGGAGAAGGAAAGATGCGGTGGAGGAGAATGGAAGGGAAAGAGGCTGAAGCGACAGAAGATAAAGAGAAGGCAGATGACGGGGCAGATGGGAGTGTGGCGGTTTGATCTTTTCCTTTTAGGGGTTCAGGTCCCACAACCCCATTAGGAGGAAACCTCCAGGTGGACAAAGTATATTCCTACAAGCAGAAGTCAAAGAATTGGGCCCGAGGCTCAGCTTTCAGGCCCAGGAGCTCCCACTGCAGCCCAGAGGTGCAATGAATGAATGAGTGCATGCAGAAAAAAATGTATTAGTCGCTTACTGTGTGCCAAGCACTCAGGCAGCCCTTCACCTGGTTCTAGCATCCTTCTTATATCCTTGGCCTCCTTCCTTATCCTCTCCATACCTCCCATAACTTCTCAGCTCCTAAGCTTTCCCCTATCCCTGGGGCTCCCCAAGGTGCTCTTCTACTTTGCCATTCCCCATTGCCCCCGGCTTGTTCCACAAATCCACATCCACTCACTCCCCACTCCTGGTGACCTCAGGATTCCCTTGCGCCCAACCTCCCAAGCTCCTCATCTAAAGAACACATTTTAAGCCTCACAACCACCCTAGGGGAGTAATATCACTACTTCATTCTTACAAAGGTGGCAACTTGAGGTCAAAGAGATTTTCAATGACTTGCCTAGGGTCATACAGCTAGTAACAGCTAGACAGGCCTACAGCTCAAGTCTCCTGATTCCTCAAAGCAGAGCTTTCTATTACACGGGATCCCCAGGCCTAACTGAGCTCTCCCACCATGCGAGTGTACCAGGGGATCCAGCTTAACTAAATCCTCCCAATCCTCTTGAGGAAATTACAAGGCTTGTCCCCTTTCAGACTCTGAGTTTCAGACTGAATTTGTGGACTGTGAATTTAACCCTTTAATCTGGTAAGTGTATACAGTGTTTGGAGGGTAGGATCAATTTATCAGGGGCTCCCTGATGAATCCCTCACACCCACAGGCCCCACACAGACAACAGCACCACCCTGGGGCCATGACATGTTCCCATTCTGTCTATCCCTTTAAAAAAAATTAATGCAGGGGAGACTGGGAGGAATAAATAATTAATCAAAATGCCATATTCTCATTTAATGGGTTTTTGATTCCCCCAGTCTAGTGTATCAGACAATGCACAGTGCTACAGTCGGGACAGTCTAAATAGTTCCTGGAATGGGATCTGATACAGCCAGAGACATAGTCTATCATGGAAAACAATTTTACATATATACATAAATGCAGTCACCTTTTTCTGCATATATAGTTGTTGTTGTTCAGTCATGTTGGACTTTTTGTGACCTTGTTTGGGGTTTTCTTAGCAAAGATACTGGAGTGGTTTGCTTCTCCAGCTCATTTTACAGGTGAGGAAACTGAGGCAAACAGGGGTTAAATGACTTGCCCAGGGTTACACAGCTAGGCAGTGTCTAAGGCCGGTTTTGAACTCACAAAGAGGACTCTTCCTTACTTCAGGCCCAGTACTCTATCCACTACATCACCTCTCTACGCCATGCATATTTATGTCAAAAAGTAAATAGGATACAAAGTAGGAAACAAACACCCATCTATATGTATACTAACAGAACTAGGTGCCTTCCAAAACAAGCAGAAGAAGCTGCTTTTGCAGAGGTTAAGGGAAGCTTCCTGAAGGCAGTGGGCCCAGACAAAGCCCTTCCAGGGACAGCTTGATTTCAACAAGCATCAGTGAGAAGAGTTCAGTGGACAGACAAGACAGGGGAGGGCCAGGAGGCTAGTCTGGCCTGAAAATCAAGAGCAGGAAAGGCAGCAGTCTAAAAAAGAGGGGCAGTAGCAAGCTCACAGAGCGCCTTCCATGCCCCCCATCAGAGGGGTCTGCATTTGATGCCCATGGCATGGTTGAAGCAGTAAGTTTTTTGTCCAAGGAGTGATACGGTCACAGTGACCATAGAGGATTATGGTGGCAGCTGGGGAAAGAATGGATTGGGGAGGGCAGGGCAGACCCGGGAGGGAAAGGGACCAGTCAGGGTGTGTCTTGGGGTGGGTGGAAGGGGCCTTGAGGCTGGGCCCTGGATATGTCAGGTCCCCCAGTTCTGACCCACAATTCCTGCTGTACTGGGGCCCTGTCTCCCAGTCTAGAGAAGGAGGAAATGGCAAGCTACTACAGTATCCTTGCCAAGAATCTCCAAATGGGGTCACGGAGAGCGGGGGTTCGGCTGAAACAACTCAACAAGAAGAGTAGGAAGAACAGCAGAACACAAAGAAAATATTAAACAGTTCAAGTCCTCAGGGAGCTTTCAGTCAATTTACCCCAATACAGGCCAGCTGAGCACCGTCCACAACTGCCCTTCCCCCAAGCAGAAAGAGGGGGGTCAGAAGGATCAGGACTCAGAAGGCAGGGAGGGGGATGGGGCCAGGGGACTCAGGTGCGAGCACATTCCCTTGAGTGGTGGGGACGGAAGCCAGGACGGAGGGAGATGTGGCAGCGGAGCCAGGGAGCGGGGGCGGCCCCCTCGGAGGGCGGGGGCGAATCAACGAGATCGCGGAGCCCGAGCCCAGAGCCCGCAGCACCGGCCGCGAGCAGATCGATCTGATCAATGGCCCTGCAGAGAGCGCGTGCGCCCCGCCCCCGCTGCCCCACGCGCGGAAGGTGCACACCTGGACGCCCCGAGAGGCACGCGAGGCACACGCGGGGGCAGGTGCACACGCGGCGAGGCGCCGCGCACAAACCGCACGGGCTACGGAGCTCCAGAGACGCCGGGAGACACAAAGCACACACAGACACAACCACACAGAAGAGACAGACGCAGAACGGACACCCGACGACATCCAGGGGACACAAAGCACACGAGGCACCCCACAACACCCAGGGGACACAAAGCACACAAGGCACAACCACACACAAGAGACAGACCCAGAACGGACACCGACGACATCCACGGGCCACAAAGCACACGAGGCACCCCACAACACCCAGGGGACACAAAGCACAGACGAGGCACACACAGACAACACAACCTTCAGGAGACACAAACGCAACACAAGGGAGCACACACAGGCACCCAACAACACACGAGGAGAGGCACACACAAAAAAGAACAACACCCTGGAGACACAATGCACATACAGACATAACAACACACAAGAGACAGACCCAGAAAGGACACGCAACGACACCCGAGAGACGCAAAGCACAGAGAGATAACAATACACAAGAGACAAGATACAGAAAAGAAACCTAATAACGCCCAGGGGGCACAAAGCACACACAGACACAAGCACACACAAGAGAGCCACAGAATGGACACCCAGGGGAAACAAAACACAGACGAGGCACACAAAGACAACACAACACCTAGGAGACACAAACACAACACAAGGGAGACACAGAGCACACACAGGCACCCAGCAACACGGAGGAGACACAAAGCCTACAGACACAGGAGACACAAACACAACACTAGAGAGGCACAGAGCACACACATACCCGACAACACGCAGGAGACACACAAATGCCACACAATGCCCCACGCCCTCCCGCAGCGCACACTCACCTTCCAAAGGAGCCCCGGGAGCCACCCAAAAACCGATGCCTGAAGGGGACTGCCCTACCCCCTCCCACATCCCCCGTCTGAGAACTGCGCCTGCGCAGAAGCAGGGGAACTACAAGTCCCAGAAGGCACTTGGCCGGACGCCGAGACAGGACGACAGAAATGGGGTGGAGCCTTAGTGATGGGGAGGCGGGACGAGCAGGAGGGCGGCAGATGATTGGTGGAGGCAGGCCACGCGTCTAAGTTTCTCTGCCACACCTCCCACACCCAAGTTGGGATCCACCTGCAGGGTCCTGCTCCGGTCCGGACCCTCAGAGCGGGAAGTGCCCACTGAGAACGTGATTCCGAACTGAGTGGCTCCCTTCTCCCTGGTGCCGAAGAACTTTATACTCACCACGAGAACTAGAAGCGCGTGCCAAGGAAACACTTATCATTGATCTTACAGGGTCTGTAGAGCCAGGCGCACTTCTTAATCGCCTAGTGTGTAGCAGGCTTCGAGCTGAATTCAGGGCACACACAGATGAAAAGGACGCAGTCCTGCCCTCCGGGAGCTTACCCCCCAGTGAGGAAAACACCATTTGCACATTGTATAAGTCTACACAGAAGACAGACAAGTAGTTTAGAGGTGACGGGCATGCGGCGCTCAGGGAAGCATAGGCTGGGGACGGGGGTCCAAGGCAGTCCAGGAGTGCAGGACAGTTGGGCAGTCTGTGCAGAGGAGCGGAGATGAGATGGAGCGCAACGCACAGGCTCGTCCTCCTCTTGGGTGCCCTTGGGTAGAAAGTAGGGAAAAGGAAGGTCGCCTCAACCTCGGGTGCTAGTGTCGCAGTGAGAGGGAGGCTGGGCAGCCTCAAGGTATCACATCCTCCCTGTTCAGCTTGGCCCCCTCTCCCATCGTTCACCTCCTTCCCTGTGCACCTCCTCCGTTATGGGCATACCTCAGTGGTCCCCATGTTCTAGCCCCCAGCTCCAGTTTGTAACCTCCTTTTAATCTGTCGTCTTCCTCCATTAAAATGTTTTTGCTTGTGTTTGTATCCCCAGCGCAATTCCTGGCACATAGTACATCTTTAATAAATGCTTGCTGCCTGATGCGTGAAATAGTCCATCTCTGAAATAAGACTGGGTAGACGTTTTTCCACAGGCTGTTTCTATGGAGGGAGACTAGGTCATCTTCCTTCTGCGAAGTAGAATGTAAGCGCTAGAAGGGCAAGGAATTTGTATACAAGGTGCCTAGCATCTGCCCTGGAATGTAGTTGGTGTTTGCAATGAAAAATATCTGGAAAGTGCATTCAGCAGGAGATACTGAGTTACACATTCCTGCCCCACTGTCCTCTGGAGATGAAAATTATGTCAAAATTTGGTTGCCTGGAGAAGTTTATCAGTATTGTATGTCAATTTCATGACAGTATGCTTACCCTGTTCTAGATAATGGACAATGCTCTTGTGCTTTAACAGTAACCCATGGAGTAAAACAGGGCTGTGTGCTTGCTCCCGTGCTTTTTAGCATGATGTTTTCAGCCATGTTGTCAAATGCTTTCAGTGAAGATGAACAGGGTATTAAGGTCAGCTACCGATAGTAAATTCTTCAACTTGAAAAGGCTACAAGCCAAGACCAAAGTGGAGGGAGTGTTGGTGCATGGTTTTCTGTTTGCAGATGACTGTGCACTCAATGCAGCCTCTGAAGCTGAGATGCGAGAAAGTATGGATCGATTCTCTGCTGCCTGTGCTAATTTTGACCTAACAACGGAACACAAAGAAAACACAGGTGCTCCACCAGTCAGCACCACACCATCCATACCTGGAACCATCAGTTACAGCAAATGGAGAAGTTTTGAATGCTGTGGATAAGTTCACTTACCTTGGTAGTGTACTTTTTTTGGAACACTTTTTTAAATTTAATTTTTTTCAACATTAATTTATTTTTAGTTTTCAATATTCACTTCCACAAGATTTTGAGTTGCAAATTTCCTCCCCATCTGGTAGTATACTTTCCAGGGATGTACACATTGATAATGAGGTTGACTCAGGCATTGCCAGAGCTAATTTAGTGTTTGGAAGGCTCTGAAGGAAAGTATGGGAGAGAAGAGGTATTAGACTGACTACCAAACTGAAGGTCTATGAAGCTGTTGTGCTGACCTTGATGTTGTAGGCCTGTGAAATCTGGACAGTATACCAGCTGCCATGCCAAGAAACTGAATCACTTCCATTTGAATTGTCTTAGGAAGATTCTGAAGATCATCGGCAGGATAAGATACCAGAGACTGAAGACTTTTCTGAAACTAAGCTCTCTGCTTCAGAGAGCACCACTCCGATGGGCTGGCCACATTGTTCGAATGTAAAACGTATGATGGCCAAAAAGACTATTTTATGGAGAACTCACACAGGGCAAGCATTCATAGTGGTCAGAAAAGCAATACAAGGACACTTTCAAAGTCTCTCATAAGAACTTTGGAATTGCTTATGTGATGTGGGAGACACTGGCACAGGAGCCCAGATGGCATACCCTCATCAGAGAAGGTGCTGTGCTCTATGAGCAAAGCAGAATTGAAATAGTTAAAAAAAAACAACACAAGATGCTCAAATTTGGAGAATCCACCCAAAATGTTCGCATGGACTGTTTATACCTGACTTGTGGTAGAACATTCTGAGCTTGTATTGGTCTGATCAGCCGAAGTCAGACACAATGAAACTTGAGTCTAGCATAGTGATGTCATTTTGGCCCTCTTCCAGAACAAAGGACAACAACCCTTCCTTCCTTCCTTCCTTCCTTCCTTCCTTCCTTCCTTCCTTCCTTCCTTCCTTCCTTCCTTCCTTCCTTCCTTCCTTCCTTCCTTCCTTCCTTCCTTCCTTCCTTCCTTCCTTCCTTCCTATTACACCCTTACCTTTGGGTGCTCTGCCCAAAGGGAATGTAAATTTTTAATTTCTGAAACTTTCCCCCTCTTTTCTCTGAAAGACTTCTTTTAAGTCCCAAGTCACACTGGCTCTCCTAATCACTTTTGCTCTGTTATTGGCCAATAATAGGTCCCAGGCCAAGCCCTACTTGGTCTTTGTTTGGGCCCAGATTGGCTCAAAATGAATGTAAACAGCAATTGTTTCTGTTTTACCCAGAAACCCTGAGGGTCTTCCCCCCTCCATCTATTTTTTTTTTTAAAGAGGCCATTCTCTGCCTCATTTCTTACTAAGCCTTAATCACTTAATAGGCTTTGCCCCAGTCAAACTGAGACCTGTTAAAGACCTTAGCTTGAAAACGCCAAGGTTCCCTAACTGCACCCTGGGCCATCTCTAGTCATCTTGATCTATATCTCACCACTGGACCCAGATGGCTTCAGAAGAGAAAGTGAGGCTGGTGACTTTGCACTGTCCTCCCTCTCTTGCATCCAATTCACTTGCATGTCATGGCATCATGTTCCTGATGTCGTGTTTCTCTTCAAGGATGAAGGACAAACAGCAAACATTCATTTCTTCATTCGAAAATAGCATCTGATGCATGCAGCTTGCTCTGCAGATGCAACCTTTCCGTGTGAAGGAGATAGCTCCTGGAGAAGCCCATTGACTTGTAAGGGAAGTGACTTTGAGAGACTGAGCAGAAGCGGATGTTCTGTAACTAGTTCTGTTTGGCTGACCATGTCTGTGGCACAGTGCCTGGCACATAATAGGCACTCAATAAATGTTGATTGATTGACTGGGGCAGGGGAGCCTTTTTATATAGTCTGCATTGCCAACCTTGTCAGAACTATGGGTGTCTTCTAAAAGGCTTAAATCAGTTTCCACCCCTTCTTCCCTTCCTTTGCCTCTGGGGAATCTGGGTGCCTCTTTCATTTCAGTATGTTTACTGATATACTATGCTGTTAAAGGAGTGAAGCCTCTCAACCTAGTGAATTCAAAAAGCCATGCTGAGGACACTTTGGAATGCCTGCATTTCAGCTGCTTTAGAATTCGTTTAGAACCATTTTTTATAGTTATTTGCAGGGGTTTGGGGGAGAGCTCAAGTAAGTCACTGCTTTCACTCCGCCATCTTGGCTCTGCCCCCAAGGGTCAATCAAATGCCTGAACTTCAGAACCTGGGCTCTAGGCCTGGGTGGCACTCAACTTGGCATCAATGTCTGGAGGAACAAGGCCATGATATTCATCTTCTGGGGCCCCATGTCATTGAAAGCTAAATTGATTCATCTAGCAGTGGTGCCCACCTTTGTACTTGAACAAAGTGGGTCTAACACTTTGTAGGAAGTGAGCAAAATTTTGAGCCTACTTCCCCACAGACTGAAGTGGTATAGGGGAAGGGTGTGACCTAAGGATGTTTGAGAGAAATGTTTGTGTGTTTGTTCTGGCCATATCTTTGAAGTAAATATCCCTTTGTAAAGAACTGCCTTGTGTGAAGTAGCTAAATGGAACTGGGGCCTTAGTCTATGGTCCCTAAGAAATGGGAAAACCCAGCCAGTGGGGTCTCAGACTGGTGGTAGAGAAAAGAACTCCCTCCATCCCAGTGCCTTAGGATACCCTCATACCTTGGGGGAGAGAAGTAGCATGCATAGCAAGAATGTCCAAGATATAATTCATCCATTCACCAACTACTTACTGTATTTACTCATGGTATGATCGACCTTCTGACAGGCTCTCCTTGGAATCACACAATAAAAACTATATCAGCCCAGCCCTCCAGGGAGGCTCTATAGTAACCCACTAGAGGGGGTAATCAGCAGCTCTTTATAGAGCTATAGCTCCTTCAGCCAAGAAAGCAAGGTTAACGAATCTGCACATTATCTCTACAAGATTCAGTTGAGCTCAGTACCAAGGATGATTTCTTGAAAGGAAGGACTTCTCACTTTACTCTTGATATCTTCTGCCCCTAGCATTAGGATGCCTGGCACAGAGTAGTACTTAATAAATCCTTCCTGCTTGACAGAAGGAAAAGGAAGAAAAAGTGAAGGAGAAAGCCCATGGTGAAGAGAGGAAGAAAACTGGTGAAGGAAAATGGTAAAGGAACAGAGAAGAGAAGATCATAAGGATAGGGAAAATGAAGACAATGACAAAGTGTCTTAGGCTAAAAAGAGATTGAGAATGAGGATGAAAAGGCAGAA